AAATAAGAGTTAAAAGGACACTTTTCGACGTCGTATAAAAACGATCAAACACGTGCGTAGCTTAGTAGATAGAGGACTGCTAGGCAGACATTAATCGAGGTAAGGTCACTTTGAGGACTTTGTTCACAAGGAAAATAAAACAAGAAAGAGAAAGAGAGAGAGAGAGAGAGAGAGAGAGAGAGAGAAAACCCGAATTAACAAAAGGACAAGGGAAAAAACAAGGACAAAAAAAAGGATGAGGTAACGTAAAGAATTACGATCTTGTGAAAGTGTACGAACGCGCGTGAATGTAATATGTACGAGTAAGAAAGATAAAAAAAAAACCAAAAAAAAAATAAATAAATAAATAAAAATAATAATAATAATAATAATAATAATAATAATAATAATAATAGATAATAATAATAATAAATAATAATAAATAATAATAATAATAATAATATTAATAATAACAATAACACTAATAATAAAGAAAACGTGTAATGTTATACTTTCTCAAGTGCGGTGATAAACATAAATCATCCGAAGCTGAGCAGTAAGCCACCGATAAAGAAGTATCCTCCGGGTAGGACGAATCCAAAGGAAATGGCCACTGGTGTTATCTTTGAGGAACGGAACGATCTCGACGATTCGTATCATCCCATAGAGACGAGCGATTTCGTCGACAACGCGGAGACAACCGTATCGGAGACGGACAAATGTGTGAACGACGTTAAAATGAAAATGCGAAGTCTGGAGATTAGCGACTGTAATCAGAATCTAATAGAACCGAATAACAGCTCGTTCGAGCAATTATGCAAAATGATAAATGACCTGGAGGGAAATATTATCGAGGACGTTCCTGGATCGAGGCACTTCGACGTAGCTTCGATCACCGACAATCGCGGTGAAGTACCATCCTTAAATATGAGATATAGTAATCAAGTGTGTACGGTTTTTCGATAGTGAATATTTGATCGATATTAGATATCATTTAGGAGAAGCTAAATCGTCTGTAATACGTATTTGCAGCTCGAGCCGGAGAAAGATCATTGCAAAGATAAATGTGGATCAATCGGAGCGACCTACGAAGATATAATGTCGTTTCTGGCGACGCTCGAAGACGGTATAACAAGAATTAGGGGAAAAAAAAAAGAAAGAAATTACTTTTTTTACCGACAACTTTCCACCGGGAATATTAGTTTTTAAAAATCAAAAAATCAAAAAAAAAAAAGAAAGAAAAAAAAACAATTCAAACAATGTGATCTATATCGGTAAAAATTTTGTATTACCTTATATATGCTTCTATCACGAAACGTAGCAGAGTCAAGTCAAAATTCTAAGTGCGACGAGATTGTACGTTTCAATGTTTGTACCTTCGTTGTATACATTTTATAATTATCATTTTTCAACAAACACAAATCGCGTTCGTAGATTACCCGAACGAAGTACACGCAAATCGAACGGAACCAGATACGAGTGCGATCATTCAAGATATATTTATAAAGGACAAGTTTTCTTCTTATTTAGATCATAATAAGTAAGATAAAATTTCATATAAATAACCTCTTTAACATTTCTTTCAAGTCGTATAATTCAACTTTCTAAATTGGTATATACGTACACGTAGGTGTGATCCTTTAAGAAATTATTTCTCAAACGCGTTCAAAGACGACTTAAGTACGGCGCAGTTACAATTGGAGGAGAAGGAGGCAACGATTAAATTGTTGAAGAACGAATTAAAAAATGAAAGAGAAGCAGCCTGCGAGAAATTAAACGTAGAAAATAAAAAACATGTCTCGAGGCTCGAGACGCAAGAAAAAAAATATCAAACGATCGTGAAGAGACATCAAAAGTTTATGGAGAAGCTCATTTCGGAGAAGACAGATTTAACCGATAAATGTAATTCGTTGGCACAAAGAATCAAGGAAATCGAATCGAAGGCGGAAAAGGATATGAAAGTTTGTACGGATAGACATCTCGTCGAATTACAACGAGCAAAGGAACATTTCGCGGCCTCCGAAAAGATAAGACGAGAGCGATGGTTAGAGGCAAGAACGTCGAAAATAAAGGTTCGTCGATGATAGCGAAACCGATCGATTATTTTCTTACGTATAATTATCTTACGATGATGGCCCGAGCAAATTTATCGAATTGAAATTGTCGTATCGTTGTTAACGATATCTACGTAGATGTGTAAGTGTATATATAACGATGGATAACGTTCCCGCAGGAAATGACGGTGAAGGGATTAGAACCCGAATTACGAAGCATGGTCGAACAACATCAGCTGGAGATTCAGGAGATACGAAGCACTCACATAAAGGAACTTCAAGATTCAGAGCTACGCATAATACGTCGCTCGAACCAGCAGCTAGAACAATTACGTTTAGAACTTACAGCTAGTCACGAAAAAGTATTAGCGAGCGAAAAGAATATCCTATGGACCAGGTAGCTAACTAAAAACACGTCGTACTAGTCAATTAATAAATAAATTCGTAATATGACGGGCGTGAATGTTGTCAGGTATAAGGAGAAGCTAGAGGAACAGGAGGCACAGTTTCGTACGGAAAGAATTAAATTCGCGGAGGATTTAGAACGCGAAAGGAACAGGTTCGATGAGGAACTAGCTAAACGCGACATGGAGAAAGATACGATTATACGACAAACGTACACCCGGTTACAGGTTAATGTTTTTTGAGATAAAAAGCATTATAATATGTTGTAATTTATTATATACAATACGCGATACTACATTAAGCGATCACGTAATTATAGAAAGAATTAGAGGATGAGAAGCTAAAACACCAAGCTGAAAAGGAGGCTCTTCGGGAGAGCCTGCAAACGGAATGGACGGAATGGTTAGAGAATTACAAGAAACAACAAATAATAAAACTAGAAAAATCGGAAAATAAAATAAGAGAGGAAAGTCAGAGAGAACGTGATAGACAAATCGAGCTCGCTATCGGCCGTCTTGAGAAGGAAGCTCGAGATATGAAAACGGTAGTTCAGCAAAGCTATGAAAGTAAATTAAGGTACACGAAGGTCGTAACTTTAAAGAGAATATACATCGTATAAGCATACATATACAATGATTATGACTGAGTCGATATTGAATACGTTAACATAGGATATCCAATTCCATATGTATATTCACATTTGTCTTACGGATACCGATCGATGACAGGAAAATGTAAATCCAAGCACACGGATATTTCTGAACGTGAGCAAAAATGGTGATATCAAAGCGTCGCTATCGGTATCGGTATGCAAAATGCGAATACATGTTCGGTTCTAATAAAAATAAAAAAAAATAATAAAAAGATACAGTAAAAGTATGTATCTATAACCTTCCCCGAGTGAAATAATTAATAATGATAATAATACAATAAAATTGTACGATCGACTAATAAACACCTGTATTGTATTCCATCATGAACGTGGAAAGGCGATATATTCTAATCTGTTTAAGGTCTGTGAAAGAGAAATACGAAATGGAATTGCACATTGCAACTGATAATGAGAAGATCCACAAACAAGCATTAATATCGATGGAAAATAAACTTGCACAAACAGAAAATAGATTAAAAACGATGAAAAATAAACTCGAAGAATGCGTAAATAATTTGAGCAATAAAAATGTGGTAAATTTCTAAGCACATCATCTTTTCAACTATTATAACGACTTTTGCAAGAATGCATTATAACGATAAAACGGAATATATAAAAAGAAGTATTATTTTTAGTTGATAGAAACTTTAACAGACGAAAGGGACAATGCGAAAGGAATCGCTCGACGAGAAATTGAAGGAGAAAAAAGAGTTTTAGAGGACAAAATTGCTTCGTTGTTTCAAGAATTAACGCAAAATAATGCCAACAAAGAAATGTTAATGTCACAAGTGTACAGCAGGTATATTAAAGTTAGTCGCAAGAATGAACATAAAGAAATCGATATATCATAAATTGTTCAAGCAATAACGATACACCTCGTACATACTCGTATATATTTCTTTCGATTTTACTTATTCGAAATTACGTTTATTTATAATGAAAAATGTTTTTCCAGGGTTAAATTGATAATAACTCAAAAAGTTCTAACTATAAAAAATCTTTCTAAGGAACTCGAAGGAGTCAATGCTAAATGCGGACATTTAGAAAAATTATTGGATCAACAACGAAAAGAATACATTTTAAAATCTTTATAAATATGAGGCGTATACTCTGTCTCTGCGATTTCCGACTATAAGCACTGAACACGACAGGCATCGTTAATTCACAAATTCACACACCATTAATTCTCATAGGCGATGCATGAGAACCTTATAATAACCTTTATCTAAGATGCAAGTAAACACGAACATGTCAGTGGATTGAATTTGTTATGAAAAGATTTTCCAGCGCCGTTGAATGTAGAATTTATTATCACGTGCACAGGGCTATGTCTACATTAAAGAAAAATAGAAAAGAAAAGAAAAGAAAAAAGAAAAGAAAAGAAAAGAAAAGAAAAGAAAAGAAAAAAAAAAAAAAAGAAAAAAAAAAGAAATTATACACATTCGTACATACATTTCAGTATAAGATCTTTATCATTGCTGTATAACATTTACAAGCATGAAATGTCACTGTTTATTTCACCACAATTTTATAAATGTAAGATAAAAATATAATTTAAAACTGATTTTAAATGCAGTCTTTATATTAACTCACGATAATTATTGATGTAATGCAATGATCTTACCATATCAATGTGAGTAATATTTCGTATTATAATTTAGATTTTGCAGATTTTGCAGTATCACTATGAGTATCAGCATTTATTACTTGAAAAAAATAATTATATTACGTTAGAAAATGGTAGTTATTTTCCTATATCTCACGCATATAAGAATTACTTTTTTTTTCATTCTAACAAATTTTATAATACCATTATAAATTTTTTGATAGTATTGTCCCAATATTACGATTTTCATTAATCGTACTACTTCTTTTTCTTTCTTCCTTTTTTTTCTTTTTCTTTTTTTTCTTTTTTTTTCTTTTTTTTTTCTTTTTTTTTCTTTTTTTTAATCCTGTTTGATATTACTACATCAACTTATACATCTATCATTATGAAAGATATATGTATCTATATGTACATATTTCTGTTTATCCTTTTAGTTTGAAAGATATAATCTAATACCAAATCCTAATTTTACAACTTTATTTGTAAAGTGAAATTAAATTTAAAAAGAGTATTATACTATTAAGCTGTTAAGTATAATACGCAAATCGCTTGTCCTCTTTTTGTTTTCAATCAATATTATTTTTCAATATTTACTCACATATATATATACCACAAAATAAAATCACACTTTTTTTACTATTTGTACAACATCCTCGTCGCACAAGACATGATCCTTTCCCACTTTCTGTGGCTGATGTTTTACCGATGACCCCCATACTAACGCACTAAGATATTAATAATTAACTTTTATTAATCCTTTAAAACCAGTGGGTATATATATATATATAGATATATTTAATAGGTACTTACTATTTGAATTCCTTTGCTATTGATCTATGAAGTTTATTGCAAAAATCTTCTACCGTTCTTCTTTCTGTATTTAATACTACAGGAGAATTGTAATCTGGTAGTTGACCTTTAGGTTTGGTATAACTGTTGAACAAAGTGATATAAATAGCTTTTAAGAAATTATTAAAAATATTGTTTAATTATTTGATTATTTCAGACTTACATTCTAACGAGTTGTAAATAATCCCACATCTTCTCCAACAAATCATCAAAATTCCATTTGTGATGAGCAGAAATAGGTACACAATGTGGTATTTTATATATAACATCCAATTCTTCTATACTTATTTGATCTAAAAATAAAAAGAAGAGAAGACAAAAACGCAATTTTTTACAGGATCCTCACCCAAACATATTCATTTATAGAAATATTATATGTTTCATAATTACCGATTTTATTCAACAAATAAATACATGGTATGTAAACTCGGTTCCCTTCAATGACATCAATCAAATCGTCCGATGTAGCATTATATCGTAGATTTACATCTCCATTGTAAATTCTGTACTCTGCCAGTATGGCCTTGACTGACTCTAAATCAAGTTCTGATTGTGCACACTGGCAAACAATGCAACTGCCTTAGTCTTTCTGTCAAATGCCTGTCTGGTAATTATGTTAAATTTATTGTGATAATGTTAAAAGGTTACACTTGGCTCATTCCACTACAGTGATCGCATAAATAATCTCAAGATAACATAACTAAAGCTTAGGTTATACATCGTGTCATTTTACTAATTAACGAGCATACTAAATTTGGAATTTTTTAGTACGTATTATAGTAAAACCAATAAAAAATCTGTAAAAAAAAAAAAGAAAAAATAAGCCACTGCCCCTATTATTTAATGTTAACAATCACTACAGATATAAATATATAGAGTAAGTTAAACAATGTTTTTGACAGTGACTTTATATTCCTAAGGATTATACCAAATTAATTGTTAATTGTTAAATATAAAAATAGAAATAATTGTCTATATATCCTTAACATCAGTTATGTTTTTCAATAATTTTACTTCCAAAAAATTTCTTTCTGCTATAAAGTATATAGTAAGGAAAAAACTAATAAGTAAGTAAGTATATATATTTTGATTATATTATGTGAACTCACTCCTGTGTACCTTTTTTTTATATATATATATATATAATATTTACCATATATGTAAAAGTATAAATTTTATTTTACCGTGGTTTGCAAGTTGACACCACCTTTTTCTTTTTTCCTAAAAGTAATATTAGGTGGTTGCTTGTTAAGTCGTAATCCAAAACCTTCCAATTCGTGTTCTATCAAGCGCTTATGTCCCAACGGTTTAAGCACATCCAAAACAATAAAAATCAAACTACAAGTTCTAGCTACAGCTATTACTTGTCTTCCACGACCTTTTCCATCTTTAGCACCTTCAATAATACCTGGTAAATCCAATAACTAAAAGGAAAACATTATCATAAATATTTACATTTATATTTTATAAATTAAATATTTCACTTGTTTATATAATATATTTTGAATTTTATCCTCATATATAATACCTGTATTTTTGCTCCCTTATATTTTATACAACCAGGAACAGTAGTTAAAGTTGTAAACTCATATGCTGCAACTTCAGAGTATACACCCGCAAGTGTACTTAATAATGTAGATTTACCAACAGAAGGAAAACCTATGCAATTAACAAATTTCTTATGTTAAAATTAATAAATTTTACTAAAACTATATGCTATATATATATATATATATATATATATATATATAGCATATAGTTTATATATATATATATATTTGAAGTTAAATTTATTAATTAATTATGTGGGTCCTTATAAATCTTTCTATTATTAGATTTATCAATACTTGAAATAATACGATCACATAAACGAATTGATATATTTAAGAAAATATTTATAAAATTATTGAAAAACACACCGACAAAACCTATCCGAGCATCTCCAGTTTTAGCAACTTCAAATCCTTGTTCTCCACCACCACCACCTCCTTTTGGTGTTATAAGTTCACGTCTCAATTTTGCTAATTTTGCTTTCAACAAGCCTAAATGACCAGACGTTGCTTTGTTCTTTTGTGTACGTGCCATCTAAATTAAAATTTATATATTTCTATACTTATTTCATTACGCCTATAATATATTCTTTGATGTGACATCGAATTGAAAGAATTACATACCTCTGCTTCGATCGAAGCAATTTTCTCCAAGATTGTACTCATTTTGATTTATAATAATATCACTAAATTTGTAACTTCACACAAAATATTATAAAATTGTACTTCGTCAAGAATTTTATATAAAAAGTATTATAAATAACCAGAGAAAACGGCACGTGCATATGCATATGCTACTACCGCGCTTTACAAAATTAGATCATGAAAAATGTGAAAATAGATAACTAACTTCGACGCAATTATTTCTATCTTCAGATGGCGTTTCGAACGATTAATTTGGAATAATCTTAAGGCTGTTCATCATCCCTACTTTTATAATGGTTTACGCCAACAACGAATACAAGCAAAATTCTTGAACTATTTTGATAAACAAGATCTTATTTTAAAGATGAACGTTTAAGCGAGAACATGGCTTTTTCGAACTTTTGAAAAAAACTTCATTTTTGAAGAAACCTTCTATGAAGAAGATCGTGTCTAAAAATAATATTATTTTGAGAATAATTTATCCATAAAAATAAACCTTTCTCAAAAATTTTCTAAAATTCTAACTATGTTTAATATCAACAAAAACGATCATTTTGTTAGCTTAGACATTCCAATGAGTAAATATCGTAGATCATTTTTTCCAAACGTTTAAGATTAAACAATTTGTATAAGCTTAAATAGAAATAGAAAATATAAAATTTATACAATTAACAAACATTTTTTAATTATTCTATCTTCAGAAAGGTATAATCTGGCATGTTTTTTTTTCTTTTTTTTTTTTTTTTTTTTTTTTAAATATAATATTATTTTTACCACACACACAAATTTTTATCACGCATTAATTTGATTGTTAGGTTACATGTGATAGGAGCATAACTTATACAAACTTATATAGCGATACAATAGGCACATAATGAGAATAATTTCCCTATTACGCATGTAGTTCATATATTGTTCATACCTGTCATTGAAGTCACTATGAACTTTGATGAACAGCTTTAAATTTTCAAACCTTAAGTGGATTTTTTTATTAAATATATTTCAAAAAAATATATATATTTAATAAGAAGATGTAAATAATATTTAACTTCCGAATAAATTTCAACATTTAACTTTTCTAATCAAATTAAATGAACGTAAAATATCACAGTATTATTTTTATATTGTTATTTTTTCTTTTTTTTTTTTACAATCAACTTGATTTATAATTAATTTTTATATCTTTATCAAATTAATCTTATATAAAAAGAAAATTAAAAAAAAAATAAAATAATTCATATGTATAATTTTACCGACAGTGAACATAACTAGTGGCACTGCAGCGCACCTAGGGAACAATGGGACAATTAAACTTTGATATGACTATATCCATGTTTTTCGTAAAGTTTCATAGTATATTACTCGTATACACAGTGTGTACTTAGTGTGTAACAAAGGCTTGCAGATGTCAGAGAGATGTATAGTAAAGAGTTTTATTAAATTTTTAAATTCTTAATATATTATTATTATTTTATGATGGAGGATATTAGTGATAAGTTTTTTTACGTGTACAGTTCTTCTTTAGATACGAAGATCCAAATTAAAATGTAAGAATTAATTTTAAATAAATTAAAGATAGTAGTGTCAGTATCAGCTGGTATTAAATAACCAATAACAACTAGTAACAATATTTCTTTGAAATGAATGCAAAATAATGACGTTAATCTTAATAACTTAATCGGATTTTATCCCTTAATATACATAGTATCAATATCTAATCTAAAATTTATATACATAGAACAAGTGTTACCTCTAATAATATTTTAATCTTTCAACTGATTAAAATATAATTAGATTCAATGTATAATTATTTTGCAGAGGTACCTTGGAAGGTAAAAGACAACGACCTGAATATGATAAATTACTTCTTGATCCAATGTTAAAATATTCCGGTTTATATGGTGCCAGTGGTGGCAGAGGAGATCTAGCAGCGTCGCTACAAGTATGGGCTGGTGGTAGACCATTAGCTTTACCTGTTCATACGGCCTATAAACACTTTACATCACGTTGGAAGTAATTAATGCATTGAAATTTCTATTTATTATATATATTTCTCGTCATATTAAATATTTATTAATATTTGTAGCTGGAATCAATGGGTTACTTTACCCATTTCTTTTTCTGATTTACCACGTGATGCTCATTTATGTATAAGTTTATATGATTGTGCTGGACCTGGTAGACAAATACCAGTTGGTGGTACGACAATATCTTTATTTGGAAAACATGGTGTATTTCGTCAAGGAATGCTTGATCTTAGAGTATGGCCTGGTGTAGAAGCCGATGGAAGTGTTTCTACAAATACTCCAGGAAAAGCCAGAGATCATGGAAAAGAACAAATGCAGCGTCTTGCTAAACTTGCTAAGAAACATAGAAACGGTCAAATGAACAAAATTGATTGGTTAGATAGATTAACATTTAGAGAGATAGAATTAATAAATGAACGAGAAAAAAGAGCATCGGAATACCTGTACTTAATGGTAGAATTTCCTGAAGTCAGAATGGATGGTATACCGGTATGAAAATTATTCATAATTTAAAATATAAACTTTCTCACAAATATCGCATAATATTTACAATACTTTTATATCATTTCAGTATTCTATTGTGTATTATGAAAAAGATGGTGATGAAGTAGTTCAGCACAGATCACAACCAGATGTTGTAACTCTTCCAGATTATGAAATTCTACAAGTAAGAAAATTTTAATATAATAGATTAGGTTTTCTATCTTAGATGAAACAAAAACAATCCTTGTATTGATCTAAGGCCTTCTTTAGAGTATTACTTTTGTAAAGTCAAAGAATATAAGCACATTTTATGTTTCAGAAAAGCGAAAGTTCGCTTTTTCTATTTTACCTGTGCAATTCACAATCAATTGAAACAAAAATTCATGAAATTACTAAAGAGGTAAAAAGAGCTGTCTTGACATGATTTATTTAGATTTTCTTGTGAGTTGGCCATAATAATTAAGAAGAAGGCTTATAAGATGCAGTCTAAAACTTTTATTAGTCAATGCATATTGACCATTATCTAATCTGAAGCCATACTTATTAAGAAAGTAAGTAAGATGGTAAAAGGCTGACAAATATAAATATTTTATTCTTTCAAGTAGAAAAAACTAATTAATAAATATTTCTGAAAATTTTTCCAAAAGATGTTCGAATTATATATTTCTTTTTATTATATGAGTCATAGAGGTGAATGTCAGGTAAAATAAACTTGCAGCTATTAGCTTTTTGTTATTGTTCTTGTTATCATCATAATATTATTGGCATATAAGAATTGTATACTCTGTTTTGAAATATTTAAATAGCAAACAACAGATTTTGTAATGTAAGCAGTGCTAATTTATACACTTGAAATAAATGTGCACTGCTATATTTCCTAAGTTATCATGCAAGATCATATAAAATCTATATCTTTTTTTCAGTGTTTTAATAAGGGCCTTTTTTTAATTATTTCAGGAAAACCTTGTTGAAGCTAAACATCATAAACTAGCCCGCAGCTTACGTAGTGGTGGTAATACAAGAGAATTAAAACCAACATCTAGTGTTCGAGATGCATTAAATACTATATTGGGCTATCCGCCAACAACAACATTAACTACAGAAGAACAGGACCTTATTTGGAAGTATAGATTTTATTTATCAAATCAAAAGAAAGCTTTGACCAAATTTGTCAAATGCGTTAATTGGAAAGTATCTGGAGAGGAACGTCAAGCATTAGAAATGTTAGCACTGTGGGCACCACCAGATCCTGAAGATGCTTTGGAATTACTTGGACCAGCATTCACTCATCCAGCTGTAAGAAGATATGCTATCAGTCGTCTAAGTCAAGCTCCCGACGATGATTTAATGTTGTATCTCTTACAACTAGTACAAGCTTTGAAATATGAAGATTTTGAAAGTATCAAGTTTGCATTTCACACTTTAATGAATGAGAAAGAGAATGAGAGATTCGAAAAGGATATAAAAACCGGAGATTCAACATCAACCCCTATTACGACTGTAAGTGTCTAAGTATATATTTATATTTCAATTTGAAAAATTATACTCTTAATAACATTTATTATTCTTTCTATACATTTACTATTCTTCTAATATTACATTTGTCTTTATAGTCAATTGAATCAGACGCTGGTCTATCTACAACAAGTCGAGATACTGTTATGGACTTAACATCTTTTTTAATTACTCGTGCGTGTCAAAATTCTACACTGGCTAATTATTTCTACTGGTATTTATCGATTGAATGTGAAGATCAGAGTGATCCAGTTATAACGGCCAAGCAAGATACTCGTGTGAGAGAGATGTATATTGCAGTAATGAAAATGTTTTCCACTATGTTAGCAAATGGCAATACTGTCTGGCAAAAGAGAAGAGCTTTCCTTTTACGCCAAAAAATGTTCATTGATCAATTGGTATCTCTTGTAAAAGCAGTAGCAAGAGAGAGTGGTAATCGTAAGAAGAAGGCCGATAGATTACGAGCGTTATTAGCCGATCCAGATCCTGCATTTAAAATCAATTTTTCTAATTTCGAGCAAATACCTTTTCCCTTGGATCCTGAAATCTGTATTAAAGGAATTATTCCTGAAAAGTATATATAGATATATAGATATATAGATATATACATATATTTCATATATTCATATATTTTTTCAAATATGTATCTATTTAATTTTACAGGGCAAGTCTATTTAAATCTGCTCTTATGCCATCGAAATTAACGTTCTTAACAACTGAGAATACAGAATACATCGCTATTTTTAAACATGGTGATGATTTAAGACAAGATCAATTGATCCTACAGACAATAGCCCTTATGGATAAATTATTAAGGAGAGAAAATTTAGACTTAAAATTAACACCATATAGGTGAAGAATTATTTATTATTTATAGATTAATTATTATTAACTAAAAAAAAAAAAGTAATTGTGTTAAATTATTTTCAGAGTACTTGCTACGAGTACAAGACACGGTTTTTTGCAATTTATTGAATCCACAACTGTAGCTGAAGTTCTTGCTAGTGAGGGTTCGATTCTAAGTTTTTTTAGGAAACATCATCCTTCTGATACAGGGCCTTATGGTGTTGTCCCTGAAGTAATGGATACATATGTTCGAAGTTGTGGTGGGTAAAAAGCAATTAGAATTTAAAGATTTAACATTCCACAATAATA